AGATCCACTGCTGTTAGTACAGCTCTGGCAGCCAACTCTTAAAAATATGATCCTTCTGGACAATGTAATGCTTCAGGCGCTGCAAGCTTTGAGCATCCACTGCAAGTTTGGAGATATTCACAACCTCAGGGGAAAAGCACAGCATTCCAGGGTACCGAAACAGATCCCATCCCTCTTACAACATGGCTGATACAACTAGCAGGATACTAAACCTTCACAAATACTCATCCAGCCCTTAAAGGAGTAGCATTTGTTGCTCAAAACGTTTGTGTAAGAGCATTCATTGTAGATGCCAGTCCAGAGAATCCAGGGGTCAACCCTAAGAGATGCCGGCTAATTAATCTACTGTACCTACAACAGAAATTCCAGAGTTTCTGGGATTTACTATGCTTACTACAGGCACTAAAATATCAAGTCCTTTCTGGGAATGAAGAGTTTCATTTCAGCTCAATGCATTTCACCAATACATCACTATAGTAGCCTTAATGAAATACACCAGCAGCAGAGATGACGCAAACCCCAAATCGCCATTTGGAGTTGAGTCCGCAGCTGTATTCTATATATCCCTGAAAAATGTACATGCATTGCAGAAAAGCTCAGTTCAGCACGGGCAACAGTGGCATTTTAATTAAACCTTGCTGTTAAATCCTCTTTGTTAAAACAATAAAAACTGGTTTTATCTGTGAGGGGTGGGAAATCTGCAGACAAATCAGATGCAGAATCCAGAGAACAGATCCAGCTTGATTTAAATCACACTGGCATGTCTATGAAATGATTGCCAGGCTGAAGTGAAAATTAATTTCCCTAGAAGCCCTTTGATTTTTTAAACAAGTAAACATTGCATTTTAATAGCTATGTCTCCTCTCTGACTTACGTGGCTTGAACTGCTATAGACAATGACTGTTAGCCTCCTGCCTGTTTCTCTAAGCAACATCTCGTAGTTTGAAACTACAACCTGGTGTGTTAGTGTTGAGTAGAGGCTTTTCTCTTAGGCAGCTGCTCTAGAAGCAAATTTCTTAGCAAACCATTACCTCTCTGCTCCGTTAGGCTGTTGGGAATTACTGTTCCCAACACGGCTGGTCTGCCACTTGTATTATCTGCCCCTTCTCCGCCAGCTCCAAATTGCTTTCTCACCCATTGTGCTAGAAGCATTAGAAGCAAAGGGATGACTCTGCACTTGCTTGCACTGTTGGCATGCTCACAGGTTGCTCAGTGCTTATATCCGACTCTGCGCACGGATGCAAGCGTATGTAGTATTTCTCTCACCTGCAAGGCATGTCTGCAACCAAGGAAAACGATGGGGATTCAGTGCTGAGGAATTAAGCCCGTGATCAGGATGCAGTGTGCGTGCACCACAGTACTAGTGGAAGATGAATGTGCACAGTGCTTTCATACACATCTTCACATCAGGCTTGTGTAGGCAGGAGACTTCAAACAGAGAGAGAGTTGATCTCTTTTTCCTTTACAGCAACTGTTCTCTAGTCTGTTGCGGCAAAACAATGAGCATTTTGCAGAAAAATGGATTTGGCTTAAACTTTCTACCTTAAGCAGTGCTGTCTTCACCTAGGTGTCTGTGGTACGCACTGGAGTCCTCTCCCCAGCCTAGGTTCAAGGTTGTATGTATTGTTCTCTCGTATTCCTTTCAGTCCTGTCTCCTAGAAGAGCAGATAAAAGACGAAGGAAGAACTCACATGCTAGTAGTACCATATGCTGGAATGGGGAAGTGTTCCTCCAAACTCAGGGCTGGAATGATCATCATGGATGGATGTGCTGTTCTGCAGACTTCAGAGGTGAAGGTCACTCCTCATCAGGCTTTCCCATGCTCCATCAGGGCTCACCTCTGCAGCCCTTTGCTACAGCAGCGAACATTTACTCACACAAGTAATCTCAGTGCTCTGGGAATAGAATTGCTCGGGTAAATCTGATCAATCCATCTGTTAGCTGCGTACAGCCCCAAATCTCACACTGCTGTACGAGAGGGTTGGACTTCCATTGCAGAGAAAGGGCTTGGTTTCCATCACGGCATGGAAACACTTCTGTTTTAAAGAAAAGTCCTGAAACATTTATCATGAATAAAACACAAAGATCCCGCTGAGCAAACACCGAAGGGTCTGCAGTTTTGTGACAGAATGAGCGGGAAGCGGCAGAATACACGGTGGGATCCTTCTCCTGCCAGCAGGACACTTATGACAGACCCACTTACAGGACTCAGTTTAAAGCATAAAGAGACATTCGATTACGTAAATCCGGTTGATCTGTAAACGTGGAATTAAGTGCTGTCAGCCTTCGCCTACTTGCCTGGCACCAAGTTGTATTTTCACGTACGCTTGGCTTACGGATAAAAAAGCTGTGGAGTTTAAGAGAGGGCTCGGCTCGGTTTTGCAAGCTGAGTTACACACTCAGAAGGAGCAAGGCCAATGCAGCCCGCAGAAAGACCGTGTTTATCAATAACATTTGTCGCTCCTGAAGGCAAGCCACAGTCACTAGCCCTTAAACTTTTTGCCCTTTTAAAAAGCACAGCTCAAGGAAAAAAGTAATTGAAGCTTTCGGCCTTTTCCCAAACTCACCCTCACCTGGTCTGGCAATTATGCGTATCAGCAACAGACGGGTTTACACGAAATAAAACAGAAATACAGTCGCATAGCAATCAGATAGACCTTTTCACTGCAGGTGCACTGAAGTGATCCCGAAATATTACTTAAGCCTTACAACACTCAAGAAAGGTAGACAGTCCCAAGACTGTTCTACAAGTGGGTCAGCTGAGGTTGGTAGAGGACAAAGGCAGAAAGAGGAGACCGTGGCTCTGCCTGCATCTTGCGTTGACGGCGCTGCCTGATGTAACAACAGGCATCTAACGTGCCTCCACGCAGCGCCAGCTCCTGCTACAACGCAGAACAAGAGCACAGTACCAGTATTATTACTTCAATTACAAAGCACTACCCATATAAGAGCTGAGACAGAAAATGTAATCTGTTATAGCACAGAGCTAACTACAAAACCAGCTGCTCGTTACACCGTAATGGAACTGATACCAGAGAGGAGATATGAAACCACAAACAACACCGTGATTAGATGACTCTCAACTGTATTTAAAAACCATTAGATGCTAGATCCTAAAAGAAGAGAAAAAAGATCAGTGTCTGGTTGTGGCTAATAGATGCAGTCATGATTTCACTCACGCTTGAAGCTAACTGCCAGCAAACAAAAACGCCTGTGGTATCGGCAATATCCGATATTTATGCGTTTTGCCATCAGTGTCATGTTTATTATAAAACCCATGCAGGCAGCACTAGAAATATATCTTAATGATTAGGAAAGATCTGATCCTTTTCTGCATACCTCCAGTTTTACAGTGATGGATGAATGAGATCCAATGGGAAAACAATGATCCTTCCAGCCTCAGAAAAAAAGATTAAAATCAGTAGCTGCAATGTAGGCTTCCATCTCACACTGCATTTCTATTTTGGCTTCTCTCCTCTAGGCTACTTTGAGAATTCTCATCAGTAAGAACAAGTCCATCTCTTGCTCTTTCCTTCCCCCTTGAATTTCAAATTGAGCCAAGCCAGAGGCAAGAACTTCAGTGCAAAGTCCAGACACCGAGGAACACATCCTCAAGTGGCTTCACTGCTGCACCTCCACTCGGCTGCTCCATTTCGAGCAACTCCAGAGGAGAAGCTGCCAAGGCAAAGACCAAACTCATCTTCACTAGTTGCACATACAACATGCCTATCCACCACCTACTAGAAAAATGCTTCCTTCTGACCACTGATACTTGTAGAACCTTGTACAGTTTGTGTTGCAAGTTGAAAATTAGTGTCTTTCCTACTCAAATAAAAAATGGTATTCATTGGAAAGCTGCAAACTGAATCAAATGCACTGTGCTAAATACAGGTGAACCACAGGCACAAGAGATGCTGAGCCATCATACATCTGTGTGTGCTGCAAACACTACAGGGTACTGCTCCCAATCTTCTGCTTCTGAAATACAGGTTTTCAGCAAGTGTAAAGCAACACTGCTCTGTTAAGATGCACTAGAACAATGCCTGCGTATGCCAGCTAAATGCCTGACTCCTGCTTAAATGTCTTCTTCTCAGGAAAATAAGGTAAAGGAGGTAAAGAAGAAATAAAGGAATTTGGACTGGCTATTGGATGAAGGAAAAAAATAAAGTTGCTCCTCAGAAACAAAAAGTTTTAAAGTGCCTGTTTTGACCTCTAGCCCTTCCATGGAAACTGAGCAGAGTGGAAAACAGCTGTAGGAAGGAAAAAGGAAGGGGAGATTAAATTTGAATTTTTCAGATTGTCCCCTTTGGAACATCCTGAAATCAAACTGTAGCTCTTGCAAAGTTTCTATCTGCACACATGATGCAAAAAGCCACAGTAATGAAGGCTTCATTCTTACTCTGCTGTAGATCTGGCCTGATCCTGCTTTCCATGACATCAGTGCAAACAAGTGTGACTCCAGGGAAGGTACTCAAAGATCAGTCAACGAAACATACTCTGGGACCTCTAAAATTGGATTTCAACCTGCTTTGTTGTAAAATAGTCAGTAAGAGCATCAGAATGTTTGATGTATTTGACATTCAGGACATATGAGTGCAGAGTGAGTAGAACTTCCATGTTGAGTGCATGGTATAATAAAACATCATATCCTGTCTGCTCCCATTAATCGCTTTTCTTGCTCCATCTTTCTGGCTGCATAAATCACGCTTATTTTGCAAACTCACCGAATGCTGAATCGATGCAAGATAGAGAGATGTCCACGTACAGCTGTTTGCTTGTCAAAACGCCATGATTTACATCACAACGGAGTCAGCCCACAAGTGCTACACACTTGTGCTCACTTTTCCATAGGTTCACTTACATCTTTCCCCATATTCCATCCCTTCTTTCATTCAGGGTGGGAATATTTACACCCATTACAGAAGCAGACTAGTGAGAATAACACTCTATATTTTAAATACAGAATCTCAATTCTGCAATGTATAAAATCTTTAATATGGAGTGTTTCCACCCCAAAGCCATGAGATTTGTATACCAACAAAAGCAGTATGTCTTTGTAATACACTATGTTTTGTCATTTGGATTAACCTGGGGCTTTGTTTACTGATCCAGCTTCAGAGGACTAAAGTGGAAGAAGTTCAAACGTTCCACAGATTCTTCTTCCAACAGCTTTTAAAGCAACTGTGTCTCTCCCCAGCTTCCGTACTTTTTAATTAACAGAAACAAACCCTGCCACAAATATTGTGTGAGCGCATTTGCCTTTGAGCATAAGCACTTATTATTTGTTGGTATACTGCTGCATCCATCATTTTCCAAAGTCTTAAATAATCATAAATAAGAAAATCTGTGCTATTCTTTGGTACATTTATGTCTGTTTAAACCACAGATGAACTTAAGTTGTACAAACAAAAAATTGCACTTTCATCTTCTAGAGAGTCTTGCTAGTCCAACAGTCTTTCAGCTGAAGGATTCTTTATTATACTCAAACCTTGTCCCATAAGAGTTGCTGCTGTTGCTCAGTTTATGAAGTATCTTAGAGATTTTGTTTGGTCCACAACAGAAAACTCCAATGGTCTTCCTGTTAAAAAAAAAGAAAAGAAGTTTTGACATTGCAAATAAACAGTAACTTTCTATCAATAGACAGAATTGGATTCCGGCCTCACTATATTATACATAAGCCAACTATGCATAGATTTTAAGGTGAGAACAGCTCACTAGATCATCTAGTTAGTATTAATGAAGCCACCAGACCTCCCCAAGTATCCCCACAACAAGCTGTATTACTTATTTGACTAAGACAACTCTTCGAAAAAAGTGCTTCATCTTAGTCTCAAGACACTAAGTGATGAAAAATTATGACTTCCCAACTCTAATTTTTTCCATGATTAAACACTTTTTTTCCTTAAAAATATGTCTCACTGTAATGACTTCATTAGTGTAACTCTTGATTTACACCGGCAGGAGATCTAGTCACTAACGGTGATTCGCTACACTAATGAAAACAGAGCACTACTAACCCATGATTATTTCTGGCAGCAGCAGAATAACTTTACTGCTTTAGTTTCACATTAGCATGCAATCTTTCCTTCAGCAGCTGTATCAGAAAGCCTTATAAAAAGCTAAAGATGATATGATACTTGTTCATCATCCACAGCTATCGGCCTGGGTTCATTAGTTAACTTTTTCTCACCACCCCGCCGACAACAGCTCTTTGCTCTCTGGTCACCTTAAACACAGGCTGTAAGATAGACTCACGTTCATACAGCATCTAAGGGCTCAAAGCAGTAGCCTGCATCAGAACAGGGCACATCCACAACAGCAGGACTGAGCCATAAATGATATTCATCATCTCCCTTTGTTTTGGAAAGATGAGGAGAAGGTGAAGGAAGGAGCAGAGAAAAGGGATGCAGTGCTGTTTCTTCTATATCATGAAAGAAAATTTCTTCATCTTCCTCCTGAAATTGTGTCACTACAGAGAAAGATCTTTCAGATTTACCGGGATGGAGAGACAGCATGCAAGAGGGAATGTGGCTCTAACTACTGTGATCTATAGCGCTCACTAAGAGGCTGGAGACTTGAGTTCTGGTCCCTGTCTCCAGGACTGTTTCAGTATTTTATCCAGTAACTACTTAATACAAAATATCTTAGCGCATGCAAGATGATAATCAAATGCACAGTTCAAATATCTGTTTGATGAGAGAAGGGAACCAACATGTACAAGAAGAAATCTTTGATGCCTACTATCGAGTGCACGTGCCTGACATTAGGCAGCAGCTCAAACAGCACGGTAGTCCACGCTGTACCAGTGCACAACAACAATGACATGGCACAACTGAGGACTCAGATCATCCAAAAGCATCACAAAGTTACGCAGGTAACTGCAACGGTGCCCTTGTGCAGGCACCTTACAACACTGACTTTAATTGCCTTCAGTTACATCATCTCTCCTATCAATCCATGGAGAATATTCATAACTCATACGTTTCTCACCCTTATAATATATCTATGAAACTTTCCTGTCCTGGCAGTATTCCCTTTAATGGCAAGGGCTGTTGCGTTGGTGGCTGGATTTGCAGAAATAATGAGAACACTGTTGCTTGTTGCTCTCAAATAAGATTCCTCAGCACTTGCAGACTCTGAACATCCTCTAATCTGTGCACCGTGGAGAAAAAGGGTGCACGAGCTGCCAGCAAGAATCTGTTTTCTACTGTGTACTTAACTGAGAGAATTAATGTTGTTGTTTGTTTTCATTAGTCTAATTAGTACAGAAAACTGATACATAAAACCCAAACAGTGCGTCTGTCTCTCTCCCTTTCATTATATATATATAGCTCCCAAAGCACACACGTCTGATCAGTATATACTGCTAATGTATTCCCATCCCAGCAACATCCTTCCAAGGTACACACAATTTTTGGCTAGTAAACAGAATCACAGAAAGGTCAAATGATTTGCCTAAGGTCAAACAAGAGACCCGTGGCTGATTAAGAACGTCTCCTGAAACCCAGCTAAGCCACTGCCCCACGCCGTGAGCCAGAGGTTCTCGAAGTCCCTTCCCGGCATACCCACCATCAGCATCTCTTCTGGACATCTCTCTCCGTACCACTTACCCCCCACAGTTCACAACCCACGTCCTCCCCCACCTACGCCCCCCAATTCCCTGCTTGCAGATACCTCCCTGCCTCGTTTGGCTCCTGCCCGGTTGCTGTGCCACGAGCAGGCAGGCAGCTGAAAGCAGCTACTGCATGGAGCAGCACGCTACTACCCTGAGCTGATGGGCTTTAATCACTTGTTTGGGTCAGTGGCTCACCTTGTTGCTCAAATGAAGACAGGTCGCTGGGTATTGCTGAGGCACAATGTCTGAAAATCTTTTAAATATCACTAACATGTCTATATTTAAGGAAACTGTGTTATAGTCCATTGTTTGTAATAATTATAAACATTAATATAAGATTTTACTCATTAAGAGCACCGAGCAAATAACTCCTCAGTGTTCCTATGGGATGAGTAGGTCAGCATGTATTCTTATATCCATTTTATGAACAGCAGGAGGTGACGGAGAGGTGAAATACTTTGCTACCTAGGGAGGACAGAGTCAGGACTTGAAATGTTCCGGTTTTAAATCCCGCATTAATTCCTAGAGAGAAGTTTCTTTTTTACAGTGCCTGAAAAATGTATTGTGGTACTCCATGCCCTTCTCTCCCACAGAGAGTCATGTCTTTTTCTAGGTCAGTGTCTGTCTGGAAAAAAGCAGGTGTCCATTTGAACTAAGCAGAATGGAGAAAGCGTGGCAGCTAAGGCATGGTACAAGTTTTTCATCCAGGAAACAACTGAACAGAAACAAGGCTTTTGCTCCATGCCCAAAAAGGGAGCATGAAAAACAGGACCCATAATTTATTATACAAACTGTCCCAACGCACATCCTTGGGTGTCATATAAAATACCAACAGTAGATGGCACGCGTCTGCTCCTCTTAGTCCAGAAGAAAAGAATCAGGAAACTTGATGCTGGGTTGTTCCATGTCATGCTCTGAAGGTCTGGCAAAGCTCAGACACTTACAAATGCACTTTGCTTATTCGGGACGCAAACAGCACCGCCAGCAACAATTCGCAAACCACAAACCAATCAGATGGCTAAATCGGAGAGAGCTTTGCCAGCTGCGTGTTTATTTATGCACAGCTTTTACTAAAAACACAAGATAAAAAGTGGAAAACATCTTGGCTGCCCATAAACAAGCCCAAGGGGATGATTGCAAATACATGCGAAAGCCTGAACACTGGCATCAGATGTTGGAAACAATTTGGTTGCCCTGCTTTTTTTTGTGTGTTTTTTTTTGTGTCTCTGTATTACAGCAGAGTTGTTTAGATGGAAAGTCACTGAGAAATAAGAACTGAAATAAAGTTAGAAGGAGACCAGGAAATGGGAAGACAGACTCTACAGAAAAATAGAAGTTCTCTTGGGAAAGAGGGAGAATATTTACCTACAACACATAAGTTTATGTGGGATAGCTGAGCTATAGGTTGCACTACTGCCTATCATGTGACACGCAACTATATCTATAGATACAGACCTATAACTATAAACCCTAACATAGGGACGACAAAGGATGAGGAAGCCTACATCTTAGCAACTGGAGGATAATCAAAAGAGTGAGAACATTACTGGTACTAAAAGACACCTCGCTTGGTAATGGTGGCACAGTTTAAAGACCTGATGTGGAAATGCAGAGGAAATGGTACTTGAAGTCTAATCAGCAGTAATGCGATGGAAAGCACAAAAGAAAAAGTAAGTATGACTACCACTGACAGCTTCATCTATATTATGTGCACTTACAGCCTTGCAAGGAAGTGGCAGAAACCTCATCATTTTCATCTTCTAAAACTGCATTCACATGGTTAAACAAAAAAGACATTAGAATGGAGCATAAATGGTCAATACTCCTCTATGTGGAGGACCCTGAGCCAGCAAGTCAACTTGCTTCTCTACCTCTCTACTTCCCTTTCTTTCTCATGGTTCTTTACTACAAAACCCTTCTCTAAGTGACACTCGTTTGCACAGTGTGAGAATCCTACTAGGGATGTCCCTCTGTAGTGGCCTTTGGGGCATCCTGGCAAGGGACCATGTCCACAACAGCCTCTAGGACCTGAATCCAAGACACACATCGTCAGCAGCCTACACTGCCAAGTGTGATACATACTGGAGCTCAATACTTCTCAAGAGCCAGGGCTCAGTGTTCCCTCATCACATCCAGCTACAGAGGAGAAGCGTCAATAAGCCACGGGCAGATGTTCACTTTGCAAGTGCAAGAGAGGACAAAATGTTCTTGAGGGAAAGTTCTGTAGGTGAATAGAATCATGACAGCACCTCTCAACCTGGTGCACCCAGATTACTATCAGAATCTACTGAGGGTGGTTTACTCCCACCCCACTGTCTACACCAGAATTAGTGAAGACTCACACAATCCCTCTTACCAGATCAGCTTTCGAGGCAGAAAACTGACAGCGAACTGTAAAACACTCTATCAACAATGTTGGATCTGGACAAAGACATTGCATAGTCTAATTGCATGTCTTCTCTGGCTTACAACTGTCTTGTTTCAGACCATAACATGCTTGCCTAGCACAGTAAAAAGACATTGTCAGGTCTTAACAAAGAATAAAAAAGTGCCAGGAAATCTCCAAAGACAATATATCCTCTGAACAAAAAACAATACAGAACAGTTGGATTCTTCCTTGTGCATTCTGTTTATAAACCAGTGCTATAAATCATGAAAATTACAGAAGTCAACAATTTTGAAAAATGCAACTTCATATATAAAACCAGCATATGTTGCAAGCAAGATATTGTCACAGACAAAAACATATGCAATCTTTGTACAGTGAGATGGAAATCTATTACTTTTATTTTCTGGGCCACTGAACATCCTAGCTGCACGAAAAGATGAACTGTTCTGAGTGTGAAAAAAAAATAAATTTCCTTTTGTACAGGCTATCTCTCACAGCAAAATATTAGCCCATTTCAACATCAGTAGGTTAAACATTACACTCTGAAATAAACCCCCAAAATATTTTCCTACAAACAGAGCTGGAAACAGGTAATATCCCCACTCTTCAAGTCATGGCATCCTTCCAGCGGACTGGTACTTACCGCCTGTTACACTTCGCTATTTCATCAAAAAGGAGTTTCCATCGGGGTCGTCCAATCAAAAGTCTTGAGTTTAAAGCTTGGTATTTTTCACCAATTATTTTCTGCAAGAAGCAAAAAATTCCATTTTGCCCAATTTGCAAATTGCCTCACATCACCCAGGGCTCCCATTTCTGACATTGGCTCACTTATCACATTGCTGAGGTGTAAAACCTGAGCACGAGTATCCAAAAGTTGTGATGAAAACTGCAGCCATTTAACGCACCAATACCTGTGCTCACTGCCTTGTCAATGGCTCTCCTTGGTGTTCGCTATACATTGTTCTTCATGCAGCTGCTTATTAATCTCCCCATCACTTTTAAACCAATTTATTTAAGCCATAAAACAATATCCACACTCCTATTATTCATTCCCTCATTGGCTTTTAATGCTAAGCTGGAAGAAACACTGCAGATGCAAAAATCATTTCTGTCTGAAGTCTTTTTTTTTAACTGTGTACAAGTAACTATTAAGATGACTAGGTCTGAAAAAGTAACAAGGGAAATCTTACATTTCTCCCTGAGAGTAGTTTGCCAGCTGTTTTGAGCCGCCGTAACAGCAGAAAGCAGCCAAAACTGCTCCCTGGATGGATCCCAACCCATTCCAGCAGTGCTAACTTACCAGCATTTTTATAAGGTCAAATGCCCTTCCATTGCAGGGCATTCCCTTTCTTTAGGTTTCTGTCCTAACGTGATAGAAAGGCAGAGAAGTTGTATCTTATCTAGGTGACCAGATTCACTCCACTGCTGAATGATCTGAAACATTGCTCGTACCAGCTCAAACACAGAGCCTTGGCTAACTCATCCTCCGTTGGCCATTTACATTCAAGAGGCATTTGCTGAAGGATGGGCTTGGCTCCCTGTGGTCACACAGGCACGCTACTTCTCAGCAAAGGGAGCATGAAGCAAAACTGTCCTAATTTTGGCAGCAGTAAGCACTTTGGACTAACATCAGTGAGCACATAAGCTGTATGGCAACGGAGAGTTGAGTTTAACTACCCCTTGAGAAATCACGATCAGCGTTATATTTCATGCCAGTTTTGTCCAACAGCCACAAAAGAAAAGTGACTTTAAAGACAGACTTAAAATCAAGTTAACTTCAGTAAATTCAGTAGCTGCTTGGTACACAACATTAGAAAACTTGCTTTGAATTGTCCATTATTACAATCTTACTGTGTCTCTGCAATGCAGTCCTGCTTTGGGTTTTAATTTTAACCTAAAAATCACACATCAGGTTCATCAATTAGGTATTTTCAAGCACACCATTCCAATTGACATATGTTGTCCAGATACTAAATCTGCAGAGCACTGTTTGTAACTACTGCAGCCATCATATCGTTTAGACTATTGGATAGTGTTCCTACCAGAGCTGTCAATGTTATACTGTCTCCACCTGATACCAGGCAGATCAAAATCCTTTGGGCATGGTTTCTCACTGCATTTCATGTTTTGTAGTAGCTGTTAGGCTTGGTTCTGGGCCCGCTGCAGTCAATGGAAAGCTTCCAGATGCAGCAGGGCAAAGAATCAGGCCTAAGCTCATGTGCTAAATAACGTAGAATGAAGATCGTAAACATAAACAGCTACGGGAGATGCCAAGAGTTGGGGAATTAGTCCAACTTTGGGGTTGGTTACACATGACAATCGACAGTTCAGTATAATTTCCAGCCTCATATATCAAGAAATTTGTAACTTTTGTTTATATTTGAGGCAAAGAAATCCAAAGCTTTTAAAAATAGCTAGTTTCTCTCAAAATATTTATTTGAAAAGAAGATTTGAGCTTGCAAGCTCTGAGAACTATTCGGTTTTGATTCTCAGCCCAGAAATGATGCAGATTTCCCATCAAACACAGCCAATCGTCTGGTCCGTGGCCTGGCCTGGAAGGACCTCTTTCCTAGAAAAGGAAGATATGGATTTCTGCCTACATCTAATCAAGTTAAGGCTACTAGACTAGATTCTCTTAATTCTATGGGGATGGACTTGCTCTTTTGCCCTAGTAATAAATCAGTCGCTTGAGTTTATGGTCTCATTTCCTGTTTTTACCAGCTGCAGTAATTCCCTTTTGCCTTTGACTGACAGTTTGCATTGTCTACTACCCCAAGGTCTAGTTCAGTTTACAAACAACATTTAGCCACATACCTGTATTCCATCTGGTTGACTGAGGTACAGCTGGATGTTTATATAGTCTGGCCGATTCTCCTGCCAAAGCTGGGAGGATGACAAAAACAGCTAGTGAAAAAATACCCCTTCTCTTGATGAAAGCGTAAAGTCACTTGTGCTACTATCCTGAGGGACTTGGGTTCCAGCATCAGTGAAGTAAGCTTTTTAATGAAGAAGACACGCTTGCATAGCATCCCTTCATGCTCTCCAGAATGTTGCACATCATGCTGTGTACAAAATACTATTTTAGGAAGCTACACTGCTTTTAAAACCCACCTGAAATTGTAAATCCCCCTCTCTTCTCCATCTGTCTATTAGCAAATGGCTAAAGGCCACTCAGACTCCCCAACCTGCATGTTCTTCTTCCATCTCACAAATTTCACAGGTAAGCGTCCAGATTGCTGGTACCTGGCAACACTGTGCAATGAAATACTGGTGACAGATACTCAAACTCCTTTGTGCATCTCCGAGAATAAATGGAGTCTGGGTCAGGCAGCCCAAGCAGAAGTACTGCTGGACCTTGCTTGTTTGGAGCAAGTCTGCTTTCCTCTATAGCATGGCAGTTGTGTGGTATGGACATACCCTGCATTTATTAAGTTGTCACTATCTCTCCAAGCAACATCCATTACCTTGTTGTGCAACACACAAAGCAGATCTGCAAACCAGCGGAAAGATTCAATGTCCCTGCACACCCAAATGAAGTAGAGTCTTCTGAGCTTGTAGCATTTCCAGTCATCACTTGAAAATAAAATGTTTGGGTAATTTAAAATTATCATTTAAAAAGGAACATTAATTAAGATGCTTTATATTCATTAGTGGAAATGTGAATTTCCATTAGAAGGTAAATGCTAAGTTGCTTTTCATCCTGTGATACATCAGACACTGAAATGACCAGTGCAGCCTATTATGATGATCCTGAGAATATGAAATGTCTACCACAGAGCTAACACCCTTCACAGATACTGTTTCCACATTAGAAATTGTCATCTGTACAGATTATTTGGGCAGCAAATATGGATCATACATCATCATCAAACTTTTATTTCAAAGCAAAGCAGACATTCTAAGTTCAAGTGTATTATGTCAATTCTTTATTAGGTTTATAAGAGACTCACAAGAGGAAAATATTGACAAATGCAATAATGTCAGGACTTAATTCTGCCTTTATATGTGAAAGGCTCTCCTTGATTATAATTAATACTCTAGCAAAATCACAAAAGGACAAATCAAATCAGAGCTCCATTGTGTTAGGGAACTGTGTGATGTATTACAGTCCTCAGAAAACGCTGGTGGGGAAAGTGCAGTCATGGAAAGATTCTGGCGTTGCATTTAGAAAAGCAGAAGTCTCATGTCACATTTCTAATGCAAATAAAATACAAATATCAAGCAAAGGAAGGACTGCAATGAACTATGAAAGAAAATAGAAGTGAAAAAAGTCCTGATAACTAATGAGTTCAAACCAAGCACAAACATCCAGGAAGCATCTTCTTAGTTAGCCAGTGCTGTTTCCTGTTCTTCTGATCACTGAGATAGCCAGTGCACAGATTGTTTCCTCCTTTTCCTCCTAAAATAATTTTCAGATAGAGAAGGCCATAGCCTGTCGACTTCAAACGCTAGTCCCAGGAGACAACCTCTGTCAAAAAGTTTCAGGATACATCTCACCATATCCACTGTGCATTATTTCAAACTCTAGGGTTGCTGCCATATCCATCAAAGGTATTGTATTAATAGATATACTTAAGTGATGACTCCAATCACTGTCTTACCTCCCCAAACCCCTAACTTCCCCTGTAAGTCCAAGGAGCAAGAATGGAGACATTCTCTGCAGCATGTAGGGGCTGAGAACCCATCTTTTGTATAAACTCCCCACAGAGAGAAAAAAAGTGCTTTAAGACTGGAGAGTACAGTGTCTTTCAAATCCTGATTTCAGCTTTTATTTGTAAACTGTTGACTTGCAGAGCAGGATTTCCTCCATCTTTTTCTGACTGCCTATACTAAGACAAGCCCTTAGGAAAGGTCACAATCTGGTCAGATGTGACAAGATAACTATAAGCAGTAGCAAGGAAAATAAGTGCCTTTCACCATAAAAAAGGATAAAAGAAGAGAAAAATGAAAGGCACTTTGTATTGAACTGTGGTAGCTCAGTAACAAAACACCACTCTCGATGATGAAACATTGCAGCTGGACAAAGAGGCTGGACTGCAAGACTTCATGGAACAAATCAGGCATAGATTTAAAATAGCACCTCAGACACATATGCTTGGGTCTACCTCCAGCAGGATATATTATGGAATAAAGGTGAAATCCCCCATTACAACCCAATTCACATGTATATAGCACTTCTTGTGTGTTTCTGTTACCACTGCCCATAACAGCCATTATTTACAGACCCTTCAGCACGAAAGCCACTAGCTTTCCTTAACGTTAAGTTATATTTTCTTAAAAACAGGGCATAGGGTTCAACGGTGAAGTGGAGGGAAGGGCAGGAGCAGGAATTAAATTGTGATCATACAACAGGAACACAACTGAGCAGGAAACAAATGACTACATCGACAGGCTTCTAATCTGCCCCAGACCTGCATGTCCTTGACACAACAGGACTGGCCCTGCTCCTCTGCAGCGCTGGCATCGTAAGGCAGTTTGCATGTTCACACCTGCCAGTTTCTGCTTCTACTGCAGGGAAAAGACAACAGGCAGATCATCCACCAAACCAGGGCTTTGTTGATGGTCAAAGGAAAGCAGGCTTAGACCATTACTGTTTCCCAGAATCATGGAATAATTCCCCTTTATAATGCTACAGCGCACAAGGGGAAGACTGGCTACAAAGGCAGGTTATGGAATTGGCTGCTTGGAAGCCCATTTATGGCTTTATCCAGATAAATGGACATTGCAAAAGCTTTTGAACACTAACCTTCTATGGCAATGTCTGTGCAAGTTCCTCTGATAACACACCAGCACAAGCAAACTTCTCATTACCTGCTGTTGGCCCATCATTATCATCTGTGACTTTTTTGGCTAAGCACTGTCAAGGATAACCTGTCACAAGGAAAATGGTCATCTTATCCACCTCAGCCCCAGGCTTTCAGGAAAAATGTACCCTCTTTTTGAAAGGATGATCAATACGCTTTCAGAAAAAGAAAATCAGAGAGCCCAAGATGGTTTTTGAGGGCTGCAGCACTACAAGACAGGTGATGCTGATAATTTTCAGAAGCGCTCAGCACTGTCAGGTCCAGCCCAGATCAAGGACAGAAGAACACGTACAGCATCTCAATTCCAGGCTTTAACTTCACTTTGGAGTTAGACCTGGCCATTGGCATGTTCATCTTAGAACAAATGCTTTAGTCGTGCCCTGTAAAACCTTCCCAAAGCCCGCTAGACTTTCAACACTTCAGGGAAAGTTTGCCATTTCAGTTGGCTATTTATGCAGTGCCTATGAAACAGGGGTGCTTAACCTGTGACTGGAGCTCTTAGCTGATAATCCAGCAAAAAAAAACACATATCGATAGCAATCACAAAAGCAAGTCTATTTCACACAATGTAAGATTTGGTGGGAACCATGTTGCCAATGTGACAGAGAAACAAGAAGTGAAAGGTTTGGTCTGAATAGAATGTCAAGGTTTTAAAAAGTAGTAATATTAGAGAAACAAGAAAAAAAAAAAGTAAAGAAAAAGGCATACCTAAAATTTAAACTTTTCCAATGGAATTAAACACCCAAATGCTATCCGAATTCAAGTTGATCTCTTTTCTTTAAAACCTTAAGCTTACACATTTATGGAAGTCAAACAGACCAGGAGAACTGGCCCTCATTTCCAGCAGAAAGGCTCTCACAACTTCCTGAATCTCAAAAACTCATTATCATAGTCCATAATCTCATCTAAGCTGGGACTAGGGGATCAAGTCCAGCCGAAGGGCTCTGACTACATTAATCACAGGCTAGGCTGGTGGCAGGATATAAAGGTTAGTGACACTGTCCCAGCTCAGGTGCCTCACTGGCACAACTCTGCCACAACTCTTTGACTTACAAAGCCTGTATAAGATTATTTATGCTCTTCAGGGGACATTCCAGTTCTCCAAGGAATCATTCACTTATATTATGCTAATGGAAGTTTTTTAATCCTCTGAAGGTCTTTCTGACATGCGCTACTATGGTAAACGGGGGAAATGGCTTTAAAAGGCTTACGATCACTTACAGCAGTGTGTTGAGTATTGATGCAAATGGTGTAACTCCAATACCTCCAGCCACACAGAGGCTGACCTCGTAGTTCAGGGATTCCTCAAAGGGACTTCCAAAAGGTCCATCCACATACAGTCTGCAGAAAAAGCAAAAAGAAAAGTTTTAGAGAAAGCTGCTAAAAATCAGAGAAGGGATGAAAAAAAAAAAAGAGTTGTTTCAATTTTTTATTAGCCTTGGGATGCAGAATATGAAAATCTTTTTCCTGGAAAGCTTTATGGGAAGAGAAATCAACGCACAAGTGGTATGAATAACTGTTATATGAAATCTCTTGGCACACTTCGTGATTAGACAAGTCATTTTTTAATCAAACAGGTGGAGGTGACTAAATTACGACTGCCCTTTGTGTCTGCTATTAGAGGGCAAAGAAAGTGCTGCACTGGAAACAATAACAACTCAGTGGGTCACAAGCAGGAAGACAGTTTGGCTAGCCCTGCCTAGCAGGTTCACCTCCTGAAGATCAGAAACAGCTGAGAGTGACAAAGGGGTACAAAAATCAATTTTTCGTGGCTTCTCATAATGCTTTTCAAAGTCCTCCAGGGAATAAAGAAGAGGTGACACATATCCACCCTGCGGTGAGCAAGAGGAACAAATTCACGTCTACCTACTCCTTCACTTCACATCCAGACCCTTGGGAATGTGATCTATCCTAATCACAGAAGGTATCTGAAGAGACGGATAGCTCTTTAGAAACTATTATGACAAGAAGTTCAACAGTACATTTAGTCAAGGTCCATTCTGTGTATGACTGGCCCACTGGATCACCACATTTGAGGTAAATGATGAATACCACAAAGTGTGGTGGGACCAGCACTGTGTTCAGCAGCTCATTGACTAGGTATTTGCTCACAGCTAGGCTAACTGACATCAGTCTCTGGCCTGAGTCAACACAGAAGTTCCAACATATGTAGTTTTATACACACACACACATACTGGTACTATCATGCAATTAAACTAGGCATACTATTTGTCTAATAAAAGGACACAAACTTCTCCTTTATACCATCAGTCAGAAAATTCAAGGCAGGGGAGACGTCTCTTTTCCCAGACAACATCTTCCAACCCTCATCTGATTCTTTCCTTTTGAGGGCTGGATCTTAGCCATAACTTAAGATTTCAGTCTGAACGCATTTCTTTTAGTTTTGTGGTCTGACAGTTGGCATCTTACCAGTCAAGACATCTTGTCTGGGTGTCTTTGGCCAATACAGTCCTTTCTAGGAAATTTCTTCCAGACCTTCGCTATTGCTGACATCCTGATGCCTCATACGTTAGGCTCCTTTTTCTACAGTGTCTAGTCTAAACACAGATAAGTACCTACTTTCTGATGGATCTGGAGGCAAACGGGCTGATCTTTAGCTATGCCCTGTCTTATAAACTCCTTTCTTGACTCTTGGTGTATTATCTGAAGAGAAAGCAAGAAGACACTGGGCCAGCCACAGCCATCATCAGAAAGCATTGGAAGTGCTGGCAGTAGATATTTTTAAATAACCAAAATTCCTCACTGATATTCATAACTAATCAATCTGCAACCCAAATACGCTTATTCTTATTTCTGTCTTTGCATTCTGCAGTCACGACAGTATTCTACAAATGTTCTTTTGGAGAATCTCAAAACTTTTCAATGCCAGGTATGAGAATACTAGAAAAACAAATTCGCTCTTTACTTAGGATAGATAAATTCTTTTGCACAACGGGGCCAAGAAAAACTTAACAGGATGTGTGCATACAATATAAACATAACTTTTATCTTCTCATTAAATGTTTCCTGTTACACTGGGGCCAAGAAAAACTTAACAGGACGTGTGCATACAATATAAACATAACTTTATCTTCTCATTAAATGTTTCCTGTTACACAACACTTTCTACCTCATTTGCTTAACAAGGGTTTCTTTTCCAATAATGAAATGACACCACTGCTGGTGCAGGGTGCAGAAGAAGCTGCTTTAAGAGATCTGCTAAATGTTGCACTATAATTTGACTGAGGAGGTAAAGGAGCATCTCTTATTTAAATAAGCAACAGGAGAAACGTAGACAAACAGGTCATTACTCTGAAATCAATCTGGTCTGAGGGACATTTTGAGAGAAGTCTGCAAATGTTATGGGTCTCAGATGTATATCTCAACAGAGATCTAATTTTGGGATAACAGTGTAGGGCAAAAAGAAAAAAAAACTGGATAATGAAGACCAGCAACTGAAGTTCACTGTCATTCCTGGCATACCTCTTACACATATACACATGTTACCCTAATCAGATCCTGCCTAGCTGGTGAAATCTGGAGAATCAATCCTAAAGGTATGAAGGGCATAAGCACAGGCCTGAGGGAAATTCCTTGCATTTTGCACAAGCAGCACTAACTTTGGTTTGGATATACAGACTTAAAGCAAAAATTTTGGAGGAAAAACACAAGCAAACAAAACAAAAGCAAACCAGCAAAGGAGAAATTACCCCAGTGGACATGCCAATAGCTATATACTGTGGGGCTGCCACTTAGCAGAATTGCACTTAAGCCTACTTGAGGGCTATCTGAAGTATGTATGTATGTCTGACCTCAGAAGGGACTAAGAAATTCCTGGGAAGCCTGAGTGCCTCTGAATACCACTGACACGATCAGGAGTTTAAACATGCAAAACTAGATCCAGTCACTGCAAACCAGTCAAGCACGGTGCATAATTCCATGCCAGAAATTCAAGAAACAACCTTCAATTAAATATGTATTTTGGTCAGATTGCTCCGGTTTGTGGCCCATTAGCCCCATCTGGCCTGCAAAATATTTCTATCTGCCCACTGTGTCTTCCTCTGAGGGAGTAAGGAGAAGTTGTCTGGACAGCAGATGCAGTCAGAGGAGCCAAGAGGCTCCCGCTGTGGCTGAGCCTGCATGTGGCCCAGCACAGAACAGCCAGAAGTCACCGCTTCCAAGTGCGAGAAAGAGAAATGGAGAAAAAGCTGGAGAAATATTGCTACTGCGTTAACCCACTTCACAAGACTGCCTGAAAAGACTGATTCCAAGGATAACATGATCTCCCTGGAAGATTTTGTGAGATGTCATAAACATGTCATAAACATTTAATCCCATTTTACTGTGGTGATAATTTATAACTAAAAGAAACGTGAGACTGATGCCCTGATGGAGGTGGTCAGTTAGGAACTGATCCTTCTTTTACTCAAGTCAGTGGAAGAAAAAACCCTTCCTGATGTCGTATCAAACAGTGCAGTGATGAACAGAGCAGCGATTCAGTCATGGACTTTTGCAGAGATTATGCCACTTTCACTTCCTGTCAACATGTTCCTCCTTTCATTTGGTAGTACTGAAAAGTTTTGCATAAAAGCAGTTCATTATTGCTAATGAAATCTCATAGCGTTCAATAAAAAGACAGACAAGCCAAGGGGGAGTAAGATGACTTTTTATTGTGCTCCAGATACATCACACTCCCATGCTATGCTCTCCTATCCCCCCAGTTTTAATTTAATTAACATGAAAGAAAGGATTGGAATTTTACTAAAAGTTTAGAAATTCTCCCTTCAGGCAAACTTATTCAAATAACAAGTTGTTCTTTTCACATGTATTCATTTCCAGGCCTAGGAGTGCTCTCAGTTATTCTGTCACAATTTCTTAGCTCACAAACAGAAAAAAAGCTCCTCAAAGCAGAATACATCACAAAAAAATAGCAGAGTACATTATTAGAAAGCATCTTACAGATCGCTGGTGAACATATTTTCTATTTAAAGCACACTTACGTTCCACAGTACAGCAGTAGAGAAATATCCCAGCAAGCATCAAGACAGCTTGTTCCAGCGCTGGGCAATGCAACTGCACTAACATGGGGCTGTCCCTAAACCAAAGGACACTGTCTCAGAGACAGAGGCAGTTGTGCTGCTTTTGAGACCCAAGTTATTATCTTCCATAAGGAACTGCATAGGGATGTGTGGAGACACCTGCCCACATCTCTGTCAGATTGGACCTCAGTGCCATGCTTTACTGCAGAGTGTAGGTGCCCTTGGAAAAGTTTAGTGCTTATCTTGTACTTCACTACCCAACTGTAAATGCTGATACTACATTGTAGCTTTTTTCCCAGGCTCTTTGGGAGCTACTGTGAGACATTATCAGGGATATTAGTGCAATAACAGATGGATAAGGGAGTTAATTCAAGAGCTTGTAGGAAATTTTCATTTAACAAGTATCAGCATTTGCAAGCTGAACAAAATGCTTGGATACGAAGTACTGCATAGAGCACCGAAAGTGAAGTCTTTGACTGAAATTTGTGGCAAAACTATTACCAGCAGAGTGAGGATTTCACCCAGCAGTATGAGATTTTGTATTCCTGGAGCAGTGTTCAGTTTATTACCAAGACCCAGGTGTAGGTATCTTTGTGTGAGCACACTGAGTTAAATCCCTGATACAGTCAAAAGGATGCAGTCAATACAGTTAATGGAGCCTAGCGAGAGATTCAGGATGAGATGAATTGCTCTCTATGTCTACAGACCGTACTGACTCAATTAACAAGACCTTAGGGATTGGCATCCCTCTGGAACAGCTGAAGGCCAAGCAGAACCAAAGTGGCATTAGACACCTAGCCTGAGGCATTCGAATCCAGACCTAGGTCTCCACTGAGAAAACTGGGGCTCAGTTACCAAGCTCACACACAGACACCTACATTGAGACGTCTTCAGCTGGAGCTGAATCCCTCCCCTGATATCCTATGAAAAGTCAAGGTCATTGACTTCAATTGGTTTTGGCTAAAGTTCTCCAAAATCAAAATCAAATCAAGTAAACAATCCTCATTTTTCTCTTTAACTTGTCCTACTAAAACCAGAGCTCAGTACTGCCATGATGGATACAGCCTGATAACTCCAAGGAACCAACTGACTGATGGCTGCAACTGTCTCCTTCAACTCTTCTGTTGCTGTAACTCTTATGCACCAGAGAGATTCCATCACCTCCCTCTGATAACCCACAATATCAGCCTCCACCCCCACGTGATAAATATTCAAACAAGTGCCTTCGTGTTCCTCCCACGCTGCCCTTCACGCCTGGGAAGAAATCTCTGTAAACATCTGCAAAGCTATTTCATTATCTCC